GCTTGGGGATAGTTGTTTTTTTATGTACTAAAATAACCTTGATTTCAGATTCCTGTCATTAACTCTCGGTAAAATGGCATGTTTCACGCCTTTCACCTCATATTGGTTACTAATTACAGTGTGATCAATGGGTAAATGTAAACATATATCAAATGAAATTAACAAATGCACTTAAATAGATATTTCTTGATTAATTCCCACTGTTGTCTCTGTATGATTTATCGCTGCCTATGAGATTTGTCTTAAAATGATGGGTAAAACTCTCCAAGATCATTTTTCTCAGCTGTCGGGGGAATATGTTCATTCCATTCCAACAACAACCAGTGCACCCGTAGCAGTGTGGGAGTCTTAGATTTGTGAATGTGTGTTTCCTCCCTTTCACTCTCTTCATTTTTCGCATATCTCTCTATCCACGTCTTAACGTTGTTTAATTACTTTCCTCCTTTCCTCCTCCCTTTGTGCATTTCCATTCATCTCGTATACTTCCTGTAAATTAATGTACTCACTTACTGTAAGTCACTCTTCTTCATCTGCCAAATAACCAAATCTTATCTCCTTACAATCACCTCTGTCTTCCTCTTCTGCTCTTGTTAAGGAGGCTAGACAGTCAGCATTCAAAAAATGACAAATATGTGAAAAAAAAAACAACTTAAAATAACAGAAAATACACACTCTTCACTACACACAAACATAGACTTGAGTGAGAACACATCCAGGCTTTCTGAGTCATTCGGATCAAAGCCAAGTTAGAGTAACTCCCAGCACACCACACAACCTGAGTTATTATCAGGTCGAGGCGACCGCGTTGTCTCTCCATCCATAGTTCTCAATTTACAAGAGCCGGGTATTCCTTTGGAGGCCACACACATTCACATGAACACATAAGCCTGCTCTCTGTTTCAAACACGCACAACAGGACCAAAATAAATCTACTAAATCTCCAATATATGTCTAATGTCTCCAAATTGTAACCCAAACCAGCTCAGTGAAGAGGTGAGGGCCGTCTAAAATGTACTCGCTCAGTGTAAATCCCTAACCATGTACAATGACACAAACACACAGCAGGTGGTGCGTCCCTGTTCTAATTAGCTGGACATTTGCAGTAATAATGGATTCCTCTCGTACTATATTCGGAATGATTAGATTACAGAGCAATCTGATTGGTCTGAATGAGTATCTAATGAGAGCATGATAATGGAGTTACACGATGTTCCAGGAAGTAGGAGGGTATTGAGAGCATATCCTTAAATCACACACATTACAAGACACACACACACACACACACTCTCTCACAGATACGTGCAGTTTATTTTATCAGCTGTGTATCTATGACCTTCTAGTTCCTTTGAGCAGCGATGGATTGGCTTCAAAGCCTGGCAGTGTGTGTGGGTGTTTTTTACTTGTCTTGTAGGGACATCAATCTGTTTACACAGTCACATTGAGGGGACTCGCCTTCCTTATGGGAACAAAATGCACATTTGCGTAACATAAATCATTACATTATAGGGTGAAGACTTGGTGTAAGGTTAGGGTCAGGTTAGGTTCTGGTTAAGGTTTGAGTATGGGTTAGGATTAGGCTGGTAGCGATTATCGTTGGGGTAGGGTAAGTCTCCAGGAAATAAATGTAAGTCAATTTAAAGTCCCCAAAAGTCATGAAAACAAGAAACACACACAATTCAGACGGTTAAGTGAGGACATTGAGTATTATCTCTTGTTTAGCTGCGGCTAAAGTGTCCCATTCAGTATTTTGTTGTACTTCTCTTGCCACTTCTGGTTGCGAAAAACAAGATGGCGACAGCCAAAATGCTTTACTCAAAGCTTCAAAACCGTAGCCCAAACAGAATGGGTGACGTAACAGTGACGACGTGCACTTCTTACATAAAAGCCTAAAATGACAATTTGATAGCTATGTGGGCTGAAAGATGCTAAAATGCTCTGTATGAGCTGAGATTATGTTTTTTTCTGCAACATTGGTGCTAATGGTGTATTTTCTGCAACAATAATCCTGTAAGAATAACGCTGTCCCAACGATATTATGTACAGATTTCTGAGATTAACCAGGATTTCATGTATGGGTGACTGTAGAGACTTCTACAAAGAATATACATTTGTGTTCCAGTCAATACGCATCACTTTGTTCATCCTATGAGGATTAATGGAAGCCAAATGAAAGCATACAGCAGAGTAAAAAGGCACATGTGCAGGGAGATGGACATGATAGTGGGGGTGGTTACAAGCTGTCCCACACAGACACTTACTGTATGCACTCACACAAACACATGCAGATACACGGCCTTGTGAGGTTGCCTCTATGGATCAACACTAATCCCTAATCCTGCTCATCTCTTTTCCACTGTGGTGACCATGGTGCAAAATATCAGAGCAAGGCAGGATATGCGGATTATTGCTTGTTTGGGATAAAGTCGGCTTAGATTTCAGTTTGTCTGTCATCTCGTTCACTGTTTATAAAGATTCTTCAACAGTTACACTTGATCATATTGTTTTTCGTCTTGTGCTTCCCCTTCAGTAGTTTAAGGGTTGTCAAGGCCATCTTTTTCCAAACTGTAGTGTCATATTTATTGTGTACCTATAATGAAAATGTCAATTCTGGGGTTTTGAACAATGTCACACTTCAAACGCAAGCAAAACTATAATGATTACTGTAAGGTCAATTCTGTTGCAGAGCAGCAGTGTTTAAATACGGATTTCGGGGGAAGGATATAAGGAGATCAGTACATGAGCCATGTACTGAATTCAGATGACTTAAATGTTACTGGCATTCAGCTGAAAGGGTGGTAAAAGATAAAACAGCAGAACAACAGAGACATTTATAGCCAAGCTGATTAGAGTGGGACTTGGCTTGGAAAAAAAAGAGGAACAGAGTGATGTGAAAGAATTGAGGGAGCTAGAGAGAGAAATGTAGAAAGTGACGGACGAGAGAAAGATGGAGGGAGGGAGAGAACAAATGGAAGTAGAAAACAAGTGACGAAGGCAGCAGTGATTCATTATTGACGATCACGCCCCTCGACTGAACTAATGCACACAGATACACACACACACACACACACAAACTGGGAGGCTGGCAGGGTGGTCTTGTAGTAGGTGTGAGTGGACACGCCCTGTTAGTGAGAGTCACTGACAGTTTATTACCTAACAAGAACCAAGAGGAAGATGAAGGTCAGTCCTTTATAAATCTTCATCTACATGTTTACAGCGTATGGAAACATATTAATCTAATGAAGGTTGATGAAGACCTTGATGTTATACATTCTGTTTTCAAATAGGCTTTGAGTATAACTATGTAAAGGTCTGCTTACAGTGCGAGATTCCCTGGAGCATTTTACCAAGCCAACACCGACAAGAAGTCCTAAAACGCTACCCACCAATGAAGACTGTGAAATGCAGTTGAAAGAAGTGGATAAGTGGACCAAGAGTTGAGTTTGTTTGTTGTGTTGAACCACTGATGTTGTTGAATTGATCTTGAACTTCCAGAAACATTTTTTCCAAAGATATAAAGGCACAATTTCAATATGGTTACGGTAACACTGGATACGGTAAAAAATTCTCTCACAGTAGAAATTCTGCTCAAGCAGAAAGGAAAACATACCAAACCACACTCAATGTTCTGCTATACGGAGATCAGACAGCATCATTTCTACACATGCCTCCATGAATAATGGCTGCATAATTAATTCTGATGCAGAGTGGTCTGACACACATATACAGTACACACACCTTTACCCCACACCACCCTCACAACTCCCTGTCAAACTGTAATACTGTCAGCACCCCATAACTCGGCCCTGCTTCATTTGGTTAATATGACAAGCAGTGTGTAAATTACATGACCTTTGTTCACTCTTTCATACCTACCTTCAATATACTGTATATGTGTGTCTGTGTGTCTGTGTGTGTGTGTGTGTGTGTGGGGGGGGGGGGATTGCCATTAGCACGTAAGCTTGTGCGATGTTATGCCACAGCCCATACTCACTCCTCTGTGTAGTGAAGATGGTTTGAAATAATCAAACCTCCCACAGTCAATTAGTGTAATGGTGATGTATTTGCATATACAGGGTGCGAGGGGGTAAAAGATGAAGGGCAGAAGGACGGATGGAGGGTGAGCAGAGAAGAGGGAGAACTATTAGAATGCATGGGAGGGAAATGAACATCATCTTGGAATTGTCATTGAATGTTTTGCAGGCTTCTGGCTTAAGTGTTACGTGACTGTTATTACTAATTAAAGCTGCACGGTGTGAGAGGAGTTCTACAAAGAGCTGCACATGAATAACAAACATAACAGGAGACAGCAACACAACTCTGCTGGTTACCATAGTTTACATGGAAACCAATTTCATTTTGCAAATTGCATGCAGGCTGAGAATTATTAACACAATTTGAAAGCCTCCTTAAACTTTCAGATTGGTTGGCTGACATCTTCTCTTTTACGTGCTTTTGTTTAAACAGCTTTAGTTACACCTTGACAAGTGAGTACTAGGAGACTAAGTTAGAGAAGATTCATTTCCACCACCACCTCTGCACACGGCACTGTTCAGAAGGTGCTCATGCGAGCTGGGACAGCATGCTATTTTGTGGAATTGGAGCTTATTAACTGATAAAATTGTGAAAACAGGACAAAAAGGACGTGAAAATGAGGTTTACAATCACACTACCAAAGGACCTGATGAGTAGCTGAAACCTGCAAAGACAGAGAAAACCGAATGTAATGATTGTTTCTACCAACTTGCACGGATATTCTTTTTAAATCCTTGACAGTCGTGGAGGAGCATATATGCTGAGGGTGGGGCTATGCTGAATATTACATGATGTCACTCCTTAAATATAAGGAGAGTGAATGAGATGTCAATCCATCACAGTCTGTACACACACAGTTCTGACAAGAGCACTAATCAGGCAACAAGTTAAAACATCTGTGTTGGTGAACCTGCTGTATCCTTGTCTTGTAGAAAGTTTTCAGGAAATCAACTCATTTGATTCAGATACAGGTTGAATATAGATTTATTTTAAACCATATATGAGAAAACCAGTTTAGGTTAATCTGGATTACACTAACATATCAAATGACAATGTGAGAGAGGTCTTTTGTAATAATGAAACCTACAGAGAAAATTCACTTGAATCTGGGGCTCCCCTCAACATGGCAGAATGTTCTGCTATTTGTTTTGCTCTCTGGCAACTTTACTGTTTTGGTTCAATCTCGCAGGATCGGTTTCCACCGCAGCAGCCCAGGGACACTTCCACATGCGGTCCGATTACTAGCAACCCGCCCCAGTTGAACCTAGTGGTGCATTTAGCAGCTAAAGAGACAGATATTTCCCTCAAGAGTTGCTGGAGACCAAATGCAGAGCAACAAGAGAATGCATATTGGATTCCATTCACAAGGTGTCAGAAACATAACTCCTGATGATTGATGATTCTCCTCAACTGAATGTATAAATAAGCAACTGTTTGTTAACAAGTTTGCCATTTCAACTTAAAAGATAGCGATTGATCAGTGTTGTGTTCACCACCATCAAGTGGCCAAAAAATCAGTTATTGCAGGTTTTGTTCCTGCTCATCCGTCATATACAAATGTGTAAATGTATGTAGTAACAGCCACAGTCTTTTCTACTTATTAAAGATACTTGGTGTTTTTTTATTTATTTACATCATATAAGAGAGAAGATGTGCCCTTAATGTCAGTCAAAACAAACAGCTGTCATCAAGCCTCTTCCACACACCTGATTCCAACGACAGAATCAAACAGGGTTCATGTCCAGGGTCAGCTCTGCAGGTTTACAACATGACATCAAAGTTAAAAACACTGTCCAACCAGCGGTTTCCAAAGTGACATCTGAGAGAGATCCCAGTGAAATGTCACAATTATATTAGACTTAACGTGAGCTGGTGAGCAAATGTTATGGAAGCTACTATTCTCATGTGGGTGAAGCTTTACAGATTGGAGATTGGTGGAGTAATATGCATCCTTAAGGAGGGCTGGATTTTTTTGTGAACCCTGGACATGGATGGTAAGCACCCACCATGTTTGTTTCTGCTGTTAAAACCAGGCAAATGTTAAATAGGGACCAGTTTCCCATCAGCTTGGACTCACTCTACTGCAAGTCAATGGGGGTGAAGTTGATCTTGGCAACAAGACAGTTTACAACAATGTCCTGCAAGAAACATGTCAAGCAACTTTGTCTTTCAATAAAAATGACAGCGTCATGTTCATTCAGTTGCTTCATAAATCCATCATTTAAGAAAACCATTCGAAATTTGATGTGTAATAAAAAAGTACAACAGAGTAAATGGAAAAATCTACATTTTTCTTTTTCTAAATTCTTGAAAAAAACAATACTTGAGGGTGGGAAGGTTTTGTGGGACACTGGCATGTTGGGAAACCCAGCCTGGCTTTAGATGGCACATATACTGACATAAAGTATCTGAAATAGAAAACGGACAACAAAGCAGTGAAACATGTGATTACGTCAAATCATTTTGTGAATTATAGCCCAAAGAAAATCAGCGGATTTTATAACAATTTCCATAGTTTTATATATTAAATAGATCTAAATTGTACAGATTTGTTACAAGTACAATAGGCGTTAATTAACAAATTATTATGTTTGTACATCTCAATAGGTTCTTATATTGTTTGACACACACACACACACACACATTCACACAGACAAGCAGTGTTGCTGGAGTTCCAGATGTTTTTGGCTTTCGCTCACTGGTTACTGGACCCTCCCTGACTTACCTCAGGCTCATGACAACATTTGCTCGTATACATTGTTTAACACTGCTTATACAGTACAGCTCAGTTGTATTGCCACTGTAACTGTGATGGCTGCCTGTGTATGAGTAAGCGACCTAAAAAAGGTCCATTAATGACAACAACACGGTAGAAAACCAGTACCTGCAACCCCTCAGCTTCATAACAGCAAGATCTGACCAAACATTTAACATTATGCTGAGAACTTACAGACTTGGCGGCATGAGAGTTGGACACAAGTTGCGTGGGTGTAACGCTGGTGTAATGTCCTTTATTTAGCCGAGATACAGAATTCAGGCACTGCTGAAGTTGTATGTAAATGACATCTGCTCTACATGTATGCTACAATTGATTCATTTAGTACACATAAATGCATGTATGCATTGTAGAAAATCGCAAGGATGGCAGTCAGAGAGTGCTGAAGCGTCTCTATATATAAAACCCCAGCCTCAATAACACTGTCAAATACACTTTAGAGTGGTGCACCTTCTTTATGGGAAACCTAAAGAATTTTTTTGGGGATTTTACATTTTTTTTCTTGCATTTATCTTTTTATGTACAGTCTAACCTCTAATGGCAACAGGACAATATCTTGGTATCAGAAGCATTCTGGTTTCCATTTGAAGTCTGCGTAGTATTGACTAATCCCCCTATGAGTGACCTCAAACGATTACTTGTTCTATGTTCCTGGTCGGTTCAATTGTGCATATGGGATTTTGAGTTGACTAAAATAGAGCCTCTTTAGGTATCTCTCTGAAAACTGATGTTATTTATCAAATTGTCCATGTGGCCTTTCGTTATACTTTACTTTATTATCAGGGGAAAATATAAGGCGAAGCAGAATCCACTTTCCCGGGACTTTAAGACTCGGAAACTTCTCATGGGTTTTTGTTAAAAGATGAACCATTCTCTAGTGTATTTGGCAATTATATTGAACCTATTGGGCTTTTTATAGGCAGGCATGTCATCATTACTATAAAGAGAAACGTCAATACGCTAATCTTCTGAACCACTGATGTGTGCATATACACAACGTATGTTTCACTGATGTCCCAGGTAGCGGTTGCAGATTCTGGTTCTCTATAATATCACAAAAACTTTTTGGGCAGTGTTTCCACAAAGCAATACAATGTTATGCTGCTTTCTAACAGGTGTAGCAAAAACAATAATCTACTGACTTGAATTTCGAGTTATCTTTATTAAATCAATTTATACTGTAGAGCAATTCCTTAGGCTTCAGATTACAAGGCTGACCCTAACAATGGCACCTAATTCAGAGTTAATACACATTTCATTGTGTTCCTGATATTTTTAGGCTAAAAACTATGCTCCCAAGTCTTTGAATAATTTAATTTGACTTGTTATCATTGACTAGTCTATTATTAATTTTATAATGCATAGTATATTTAAAGTAACAGGAAATAATTCTAAAAGTAGGTTATAGTTATTTTTGTTTATAAAAAACATGGATACGATTTTCAAAAATGTCTATTCTCATTGCCAAAATATTTCAGGACCTTTACAGGAAATGCTGTAGATGTGCAAGTGTTTGAAGCTTTCTGATAGTACATCTGTCAGGGAATCTGATGACAGTTGTTATAATTATGTATGACAATAATAACCTTTGACCAAAGCTTTCAAGCATTGTCAAAATGAAATATCTATATTCCCCTCCTCCCATCCTTACTTCATATATGGCACTCAGCTTTCTTATATGCTGGTGTCGACCTCAGGGAGAGGACACAATACCCTTTAAGTGGGTGAATCTTTCAACCAGATGGACATTAGTTTTCATGTCCCAAGTAAATTATCCTTTGGATGTTTTCCCACAAGCTGTGCTTTACATATTAAAGCCAGCATATGTTCCTGTTGAATCCCCGACACGGCCATTGAGAAGACAAAGTGTTTGGCTGTCAAAATGTGCTGGTCCTGCCTTTAACAACTAAACGTACATAGAAGTCAGCAGGAAAAAAAAAAATCCTTTGCCTTAGAAAGATGAGCCTGTGCTGGTGGTGACTAAGAATTCATTTGGCACATTTTATTAGATATTTTAGAGGTTTAGCAACCACTATGTTATTTGGCAAAATGTAGAGAAATTGCATCATGCTATTTTCTTTCCATTCCTGGTGAAGGTTTGTGATTTAAAAGTGAATTTAAACCTGTGCTGGAGTTTTTCCACTGTCAAAAATGTATGTTATGCTGTTGTTAATAAATGTTATTAATCGTTTGGTTATTAAGTCATATTGTGATGTTGTTGTACAATTGAGAAAAACACTTATTTACGCCAAGAAGGTAAGCACGCACAGGTACTACCACTTATTCAAATTTAAACAACCTAGATCATTTCAGAATTCTTTTGTTTTCAGTAATACATTTAAATTAGGATGTGATGTTGACAAACCTCTATTTACTTTTCTATCAACATCTAAAACATAATATTTTATGGAAACTAATGCCTCCTACAAATTATTTTTTCCTGATGTATGATTTGTACTTTACTGATGTCACATCTATGTGATGTCAGCAAACAAAGAGAACAATGGCAGCAATGTAGTGCAAGTTAGATTAAGTTATTATCCAAATATGCCAAGTTTATGAAGTTTCTCTTCGACAAAACGTATTTTCTTATGTCTAGTTGTTGAGCTACGCAGAAGTGTTTGGAAGGCCTGAGATTTCCACCGAGTAAATCATATTCAGTCTACCAGCAAACTAATAGACTTCAATTTGAATCCTGTTGGTTACATTTGCATGGGGCTAGTGTGTATTTTTATATCCACGTGGTAAAAAACAATACAATTAAAAAAAGATTATGTATGTAAAAGTGAACCGTGTCAAGCATGCGTTCTGTGACTATGTGTACAAGTTAGTATAGTACAATATTATTAGTACTATGTTGTGTTTATTATTAGTTTATCTGGACAAAGAAACAGATGAATAGAATTTTAAATATTTGAACTATTTAAGAAGCGCTTGATTTATCTTGCCAGTCACTCGTGGCCGTCTTAAAATCAAAGACACAGCTAGTCGGGACTCCTGGCGGCTTGGTGCGATAAGGTGACTGTCGTGACTTGCAACATCACAGCTCCAAAATGTGGCTCACAACCTTTGGCACATGTCATTCCCTCATTTAAATCTCGCACCCTCCAGTGTATATAAAGTGTCGTAAAAAATGTCTTAAAACAAGTAGAAACACAAGATAAATGAAGCGCTCCTTGTGGTTTTTTTCTTTTCAAATATTCAAAATGAACCCATCTTGTATTTGTCCTGACTTGAGCAGTAAAAAGGCACTGAGCTGGGAATAATTTTCAGTCCTAAACATATTACCTGCAATGAAATGACTGGATTGTTGTTGGTTATAGTTTGCTGTGTACTAGTGTTTTTGGCATTTGTCTTTTGATGACCCCTTTTCAAACCTTGTTTACGCCTCTCATTCCTCGCTTCCCACATCGACCAACTGGTTCTAGAATGTCAGACGGATGGAACGAGCAGCAGATGTCAGAAGTATGTTTGGTAAAGCGTGACATGACTGAGGGACAGTTGGAAGGGTAGCTGTATTGTCCTCAGTAGCAGTCTTTCTTGTACAAGAGGCCACGATGCACAGCAAACATTTGTGACAATGTTGCCATCTTCTTAAAGTCCATACAACTTAATTCCTCTGCATCCACTTTGTTAATGGAAAGTGGATTTGTTCTGTTTGCACTTTTCGGTTACTAATGAGTGCAACCACGGTCATGTAAATGGACTCTCTCCGGGTTGTCTCCGAGCATTGTTGCCTCTAGACATGTGTCAGGGTACTGTTTGTGAGAGTGGGTCCACTGGAGAGACCTAGAAACCAGGTACGGAGCTGAGGAATCCAGCTCGATCACTATGTTTTATATTAAGGTTTCTCTGCTAATTGACCCAATCAGTACACATCCTTAGGGAAGGGTCCATGTGAGACTAGCACAGTTGCTGATCCTCAAGTTTTTTGAACCACATCTCCGTCGCTCAGAGAAAATGAGGGCATGTTGTTCTTTTTCAGCGATAATGAGAGCATTTTTTTTTTTTTAAGTTTCATTCATATAGGCCATCTCAGAGGTCTGAATCCAAGTTTTAATAGAATGCACTGCATATCCCAAGATCCATGTGATTCATATCCTGCATGTTCCACAGGTTCAAATCCAGCCTCTCACAAAAGGAATACCTGTGTATCCTAGTCTGTGTATGGGACCTACAAACTTGTTTCTCTTAGAAACATGGTCCCAATGCTGTAGGAGACTTTCCTCATAGAGGCCGGGGGAGCGGAGCGAGAGCTGGTCAGTGAGGCATGGCTGTGAGATGTCCCCGCCTCCAGGAAATAACATGTCCCTTGGATCTCTTTGGGAAAATTCTCTGGAAGCTCCAGCCGTGAGCGAGGGACAAATGAAAAAGAACGGTCATCTTTCAGCAACCTGTTGAGAAGAGAAGCTCTCTTAAAGCATTTATTGTCATGGCGGCATGGTTGAAAAGAAGGTCGCATATATGTTTGTGTGCACGCACATTTGTTTGTGTGTTCGTTCAGTGCCGTTACTTACTGGTAAGTTGTGGGACTAACATTGATACACCTCGGATGGCTCCCCGATTCAAACTTGCTGGCCAGTGTCACATTGTTCCCAAACAGGCAATAACGTGGCATTTTAACCCCGACCACGCCTGCCAGCACCGAACCGGTGTGGATACCTATCCTCAGCTAAGAGAGAAGGGGAGGAAGTAGGTGGTGGGAGGAGAAAGATTAGAACAACAACAAAACCGGCAGGATTTTTAAAAGCTCAAACAAGTTTAAATTAGGGTTCATACACATTCCTTGACAACAAAATGGAAGTGATGCTGCTGCTACTGTATTTTCAAGTCTGTTACCCTCCCCCCCCCCCCACCACACTCTCCCTGTTTATTTATCCACACTATTTGCATGCAGCTTAATTGCTCATCAACTACGTAAATCAGATCTAGAGATGAAATGATTAGTTGATTAACTTATCAACAACTTTTTTGATCATTTGATAATCATTTAAGTCACTTATCAAACAAGTTGCTAAACATTCACTGATTCCAACTTGATGATTCCTTTGGCCTTTGGGAGGCCACGTTGTTTTGAACTAGAAGTGCTATGTGTGCGTTGATCCGCTAACTGTAGCAATCATACTTCCATATTACTGTAGCTGTTATCATCTAGTCTGAGATCTTGTGGCAGAAGATTTGATGAAAATCTTAAAATAGCAAGAGTGAGAGAGGAAACCTAATCAAATAAATAATTGCCTCCAACGCATGGTGCTCATATTATAATCTGGCTGAACTATGAATCTATAAATGGCTGCAGGCAGAGTGAAAGCTATCGAGCCATCATTCCAATTTCACCACACCACTTCATTGCCACTCGACCAACTATATATTTCCTCCATTTGGGAACAAGTTATCACACAGAGCAGACACGTGCACATACATCTCCCACACACACCCACCCACACACATACATCTCACACACACACGCACACATCATACTTACACACACACGCGCATATATACATCACGCACACACAAAAGCTAGTGGAACCCAGTAGATTTCTAATGATCTACTTGAGCCGCTCATCCTCTCGGTATCCACAATGTGCATGTCAGCACACTGCGAGGTAGTCATGGCAACAACAGGCAATGGGGGTAGTGAGGTAGAAAGAGCACAGACAAACAGAAAGAAGATACAATGGAGAGAAAGGCACAAAAATAAACTAATAATTAGATGGCAAAACCTTGACAGCACATGGATGAGAGAAAAAGACAGAAAGTGTGCGAGAGCGAGAGAGAGAGAGAGAGAGAGAGAGATAAAGGCTGGTAGGTGCACTAGTGTGACCTATTTTTCAGCTAAACTGCTTACAGATGGCCATGCACTCGTCTGTCTTTCTCTACAACAGACAACCACTCACACACACACACACACACACACACACACACAAACAAATCTGCATCCAGCACCCACTCTCCTCTTCATTTCTTAGTCTCAAAACACAGACACGGTAACACTTATACACTCTTCCCCTGCTTTTCGCTGTGAGTCAGCATCCATAGCACATGGCCCTCAGCGAGCCAATGAGCAAATGGCACAGCAGCAAAGACGACCAATCGCACCGTAGCCTCTGGCCAAGCTGACGGAAGGATACAGAGATGAGGTTGTTATAGAATCAACTTTGTTACAATCAGTTGCAAGTTCATTAAGTAGATCTATCTTAAACTAATCCAGTCAGAAACAAGAGTCCTGCAATAAATCCTACAGTCAAGAAGGTTAGAATATATAGAGAGTTGTTGATTCAACTTTATACTCTACTTGGAGGATGTAGTTTGTGGTGCTGTTCAACTGTATTGCATTACACAGAGAGGTGGAATTGACACGTAGCCCCTCCTCATTGGTATAGACAAGGTGGACAAAGACATTATAACCTTCATGATTCATTGCAGCACTGATACATTAGACTGCATTAGTTTTAGCTCGGTGCACCTAATAAACTGCCAACTGAGTGTACTTAAGCTGCTCTACACTAACTATTACACATGCAATCAGACTTTTGTCAGAGTAAGAAGGTTTATGGTTTTTAGTACTGAAACGAGTCTTAATTGATTTGTCAGACCTCTGTGTACTGCAGACCAGGAGGTAATGGCAACTGCATGGTGAACATGAGGTCAGGGAAAAGCAGCCACTTTCAGTTGGCATGACAAGTCCCTGACTATTTCTGAATTCACAATGCTCATATACTGCTAGTGTAAAGTATGATTGGTGGAAATAAGCCCACATAAACACATTTAAACAATATTAGCAGTGACAAGATAAGTACTACATCCCTAATATCCACACCCACTCACACTGACAAGTGCACACATGCAAAAGGATCATGCCACAGGCCTGAAATTGAACCAGTAATGAAGCTGAAAAACACTTTGTTTTCTATGCGTTTCTCTCTTGATATCTCCCTTGTATATTATGTCTCTGTGTGTCGCTTGATCGCTCTCTTTATTTCTCTCTCACAGCTCTCATGCTACTTTGCATAACAGTGCAACATTGGCTAGAGTTGAGTGCACTCCCTGAACAGCATTTATCATGCCGAAGTGTTGAATAGCTCTATAACTGTCCGTTATACCAACATGAAGTCAGGAGTGATAAGAAAGAGGAGAGCACAACAGAGAGGGCAAAATATAGAAAAGCAGAACAAGATTAACAACTGAGAGGAAAAGAAAGTCAGAAACTAAAGAGGAAAATGAAAAGAATGAGTTAGAGAGCGGTTGCAGAAGAGAGAGTGAGGGAACTAGAGAGAATGGAGAGAAAAATAAAAAGAGGAGAGAGAGAGAGAGAGAGAGAGAGAGAGAGAGACACAGGCCAAACATTCTTGGCAAGGCTATTTTGAGACAAATGACCAATGTTGGGACCACAGCATTATACAGAAGTCATGTCTGTTATTCAGCAGTTATCTGTCTTAGCTTGTCTCTCACATACACGTTTTGTATCTGTGTCATTATGTGTATTTTTAAACAAGTTCAAATCAGTGGCAAAAAATAAAAAAAATATAGCTAACTTCTCAAAAATAGATACAAATTGAATATTTTCTACTCAAGTTGTAAAAGATAAGTCTGCCATTATTCTATACTTTTCTTACTGCCGACACATTAGCACAAAAAAAGAACAATTAGTCTGACTTAATACTTAAAACTTGAACTTAATTACAATAATGAAATACGGGACATCGATGAAGTTTGACCATCAACCTTGTGAATAAAGGACAAGCCGCTCTACCTGAAATTACCTACAAGTCTGTTGCAGTCAGCACCAAGGGCATTTAATGTTCCTGAATATTGTTTTTTTTTTCAAAGTCTCAGTCATTTCCTGAAATGTTACTCAGACAGAAGTCAATAGTGTACTTGTAAAGGCCTATTACTTATTTCATGAGAGCTGTTCGCAGTAGAGAAAAGATAGAACATCATCAGCATTACCCTGCTAGTAAAAGGAAAGACAGAACATGACAACAATAACATTGGTCTAAATGTCTAAAAAACAAAAAATGTCTAAAGTATCTACTGCTCTGCTTCATTTGTTGATTCTGTTTCACTGAAGAAACCAAAAATAAAATGTACGTAATGCTTTGGCTCATATTTATGACATTGTAAGTTAGCACAAAGCAAACCAAAGATAGCCTCCGGTAATGGCTGTCCTTGACCGAGACTGGACTGAGGATGGACATAAATAAATCGTATCCTGTTTTCACTTTTCATTCTACTGAATTAACAAAAGAGGTTTGAACTCTATTCCCACAGTTGAATCATTTCCTTCCCCTCCTACTTAATATAGTCCTCATTGTTTCTGCAAAAGAGAAGCTTGCCTTTCTCTAACTCCATTAAATACTGTTAAATGCAATTCCACATGGACACATAATATGGATTTTGAAGGAGGATAAACACTCACGGCAACAGCTGTGTTCTACCTTTAACACTTCTTTTTTTCACCGTGTGTGAAAGTGTGTGTCATTTTACTGTAGTTGATATATGGGACACATGCTTTTCCTCGAGCAACATAACCATTTTAAATGTTCAATAGCCAACATGCAAAAATTAAATAATGGGTAAAATATCATATCACAGACTGTCCAGAGACAGGGTAAAAATACAACAATTTGATATGCAAGACCTTACATCAACTAAAGAACGAGTAACCCATTTGGAAGAAAAAAAATGTTTTACTGCAATAATATCAATCAAGCAACCTCGGGGAGGTTTTGTAAGGTGAATACAAAGTAAGCACAGCTAAATGAGGACAAAATGAAGGAGGACAGAGAGAGAAAGAGAGAGACAGTTGAAAACCAACACACACACACACACACTCTGTCTCACCTGCGTTGGAAAAATGTGTTAAGCTCAGACGGCAACAGGTGCATTACTTCTCTCCTCTCTTTCTCATTGGCAAAGATCAGTGCACAAAACACTCAGGAAGCAGCTTCTCCTCTTTAGACCAGCACTGACTTGCTTTCAGCAGTTCAAATGACATGTCACCAGTGGTGGGTCGTATCAACAGTCGCTTATTAACGTTAATTCTATGAGTAAATTGGGGAGGAGCCAAAATCAAACTTGGCTGTTATAGGTTTGTGAAGCCTGTCAGCACTCTGCTTAAGATTGTTTATGAGAACGAAGAAAAGAAGCAGTGATACGTCTTTTCTCTATCTGATCGCTTCATGTCAATTTCAGGAGACACATTCTTACAGTTTAACTTTTTTACATCATATTCACAATTTCTGCTGATCAACCGATTATATCGATGTTTCAGATACAATCTTTTTATCAACAATTATCGGATTCAGCCCAAAAAATAAAGCTTGCTCAGAACATCCCTAACGGACTGACAGATGTGTGGAGCAGTGGGGGAATGCTAAAGAATTGTTAATGTCATTTCTGGGAGCACATGGGAAGTTCACCCCAAGCGACACAAAGCTAAAAGGAAAATCATGATTTTCAATAATTGAGACATTTCTCAATCAATGTCCCTCTTTTGAAAATGATTGAGTAGATTCAATTAATCCATTCTTTGAAATATCATTCAACCATCTGTTGATTGAGCTCTCTTATCTATATACCTATATCATCCCTCTTCCCATTTTCCACAATCCATCCCCATCCTCAAATGATGTCAATCACAGTCTCCCATAGCCAGACCTATCTCCACATAAAGGAAGGTCTGCCTCCACACATTATCGTTCTGGTATAGGGGAAGAAACACTTTGTCAAACCAATCACAATTGGACAACTGTGTGATTCAGCTCAGCGGGTGATTGATTGTACGTTTGTTTCATGGTAATAAAGGAAGCCACAATGTTAAATGTTAAATAAGGAAAGAAAAAAATAAATATATAGGAAAAGTAGAGACAAACTGCCCAATCAGTCACAATCAGTTGCTGGTTTAATCAGTTAAAGCACCAGAGTTATGTTAGTTTGATAATCAGCAGTCGGACACACAATTTACCTTTTTTCTCAGCAGGAATCCTGAGCTCTACCCACATTTAAATATGTAAAATTAAATAGACTAAATATAAAATGACACACAGAGATAAAGTTATGGAGGAAATGCATAAACAAAAAACGCAAAAAACAAACAAACATACCAATCCCTCAATACCAAGTCGTTAATAAAATAGCAACAATTTAAGATTATTTGTCTAGTTTCCATGCGCTAGCAGCAGATTGGTGTTACAAAAAATAAAAAAGCTCACCTTGATAGGTCTCCCATCAGGTGTCAGCACTTCCTCGGACAGTTCCATCATCTTCAGAGCCATGTGTGCAATCGGCTTTGCATGACTATCAACCTTCTTGTGAAGTCCTCCCGCCACACAGTAAGCGTCGCCGATTGTTTCGATCTGTATGAGAAGCAGTGGAGGAGAGGCAGAAACTGAAATGAATAAATGTGGCTTAGCTGATGTGTGAAACTAACTAGCCATTCATTCAATCACTCATAACATCTCCACTGAGGAGCAAATAAAAGAACTCTTTCATTCCTCTTGTAATATTAGAACTAGAGTATTTGTCTGTTTCTCTCTCTTGGCCTGAATCATTCACATTAAGACGTGGTGAGCATTTGGAGAAGGATCTCGGCAAAGCCGCTCACAGCATCTTGCATTGCTTCTGACCCAGTCTGAGAGGCCAAACATTAAAAAAACAAGCATTTCTAGTAATTCTTGACACCATAAAATCCATCCTGAAGATCACTGAAATACCAAATACAATACAAAATAATCTTATATTAAATGTTTTAGAATCCGTTTAACAAGTTTAACAGTATTCTTTTTAAAGTGTATTATATTATATTTGTAAGGAACCATGAAGAATATAAAATATTAATGCTTGACATATTGTGCAGTGCCAGAGTGAGTCAACTAAGTGGAAAATATATGCTATAATCCATCATGATAAAGATTTTTTTTTTTTTTTTTGAAAGAACAATAAACGATACAAACTAAGAACAAAAAAAGTATTTTTAGTAACAGGGCATCTTGAGGCTGTGATATACCAGACCACCACAGAACTGTCAAATGTTAATGGGTTGGCATGTAGAAATGCTTGGATCAATCCGGTGCCATCATTATCAGCTGAAATTCAACGCATGATTTTTTTGTATAGCCAATGAAAAAACATCTTACTTGATCTTTTAAGCAACAGTCCAGTGTTTCCCAAATACAGCAAGCAATTAATCCGCTGTAATGAGCTCATTCCGTATATTACATCTTCAAACAGAAGTCAAGTCATTCCTAGTTCCATGTTTGGGCGTACTATGCCAGAGATGGAAGTACAGTAATAACAACTCTTCCTTGAATGACTTCCAAAAGCCAAATTCTAAACACACGTTAATAAAGCCATCCCAGGAATGCCGTTTTCAGGGTTGTGTTGCCATATTTCCAGTTGAAGGAGTGAGCTAGGTGTCATAACAGTTGATGTGGTCGTTAAAGAAGATAAAATGGATAGCGCAAGAGGAGAAAGAGGAGGGAAAAAGAAAACTAGGACTCATTTAGGCCTGCCACCAGCACAATCATTTCAACAGTAACCATGACAATGGCAACATATGCATCCCTCACTCTCTTCACCTTGTCCTCCTGCTTCTCTCTTTTACACATACACACTCGCTCTTTAACTGCTGTATACATAACCCCTCTTTAATACACCCAATCTCTCTGCCTTCCTCTCTGTATCTCTTCTTTCTTTTCCCCAGGCATCTGACACGAGACATTTCTGAGAGATAACACAGAGGACAAGCGTGTTGATGGGATTGTAGCAAGTGTATGCTGTTGTTACAGGGACTGAGGCAATGAGAGAGAGAGAGAGAAAGAAAGAGAGAGAGAGAGAGAGAGGGAGAGAGAGAGAGAGAGAGAGAGAGAGAGGAACGATGATGGCAATGGTGATGATGGGGAGAAGCAAAGGTGAAAATAGTAAAAATGAAGAGAAATACTGATGTGATAATGGATAGTGAGGATGGGGGAGGGGGAGATGGCCCAAAGCCACACTGTCCGATGGACAATATTGACACATCTTTGTTAAGCTCCCACAGACTGGCCATTAATCAGTTACTTTTTCCACAACACAAGCACACACAGTACACACACACACACACACACACACGGTTGTGTTTTCATGACCTTTGGGGACATTACATTGACTTACATTCATTGGAGACCTATGTCTAACCTTAGCTATAACCGCTACCAGCCTACATCTAATCCTTTCCCCAACCTTAACCCGAACCCAAACCTAACCTGACTAACCTTAAACCAAGTCTTCACCTAAAAAATGTAATGATTTAGGTTATGGGGATGTTCAATTGTCCCTACTTTGACCATGGAAGGGGGCTCTAAGTTCCTGGGAAACTGTCACTTCCTGGAGAACATTTATCTTTTAAGATGACCTCAGGGTGTGCATATAAACCAATAAAGCCATCACAATTTTAAAGCAATCCCTTAACTGATATCCCATTGTGTCACAGTTTAGAAACAGATACTACTACATCATATAAAGAAGATGTGTGCGTCTTTCTGTCTACTGACCTTATAAACATCCAGAATGCCACACTGGTAGTCAAAGCGCGTGTAAAGCTCGTTCAGCATGGAGATGACCTGCATCGGTGTACACTGGGCACACACAGCAGTAAAACCCACGATGTCTGAGAACAGCATGGTCACATCATCAAATTTGCGAGCGGGCACTGGATGGCCCTGCCACAGTTTCTGTGCCACATCACCTGGAAATATGGAATAAAGGAGATCCACGGTTCTCCTCTTTTCCTCTTCCAGTGCCTGGTGAGTCCGCTCTAATGTGGCCTGAGAGAGGAGAAAAGAGAAGGAGATCAGGAGGATTTGTTCTGTATGCTTTGCTTCAAAGGAGGCACTGATGACAACAATTCATGGATGTGGGAGTACTGCACCAAATTAAAACTGCTGGTGCATGTAAATGTATTTGTGTTTGATTTATTTTTGATTTTGTGTATCTGCATAATGAGTAATTGTGTCTGTGGGCGAGCTTCATAATGCCAAATCTGTCTGATTCAGTGCTATACCATTGTTCCAGCGAGCAAGTCAAACTAAGATACAGCTATTTATAACAGTGGCCTGGGGGAGTAGTTGCAGTGAGAGTGTTGCAGTGAGCAGATGCATAGGATTGGGTCAGAACTCGGTGACTTGTTCAAGGGTACTTTGAAAGCAAATTATAAGAGCAAGTCCCAGGAGCCACGTTCTTCCAGCCATTATGAATCAGTCAGTGCAGCCAAAGCATTGCATTAAACAAGTTCGCTTCAGTGAGTTGTCTTGCTCGCATGATGGAAAACAGAAATAAAGACCAAATATACAGAATATGTTTGTGTATTTTCACTATTTCAACATGTCATGGTCACAGGTTTTCATTTGTCATTTTGATTGGTTGCCAACAGACAAGATGGCGGGTCTTAACTAACATGAGCCTGTCAGGGTATAGGCTCCAGAGAGACAGTAGAGAAGGAAGAAAACAGTGGCGTGCTGCTGATAGCAATAAGTCCTGTTGTTGAGTCACTTAATGATAACCCTAATCCTTGAATTATTTTGGCTTAGTTTCTGTCTGCATCTATTGTTAACCTAAATGCAACAACAAAACAAAGGGGAACTACACGGGCCCCCTACCACATGGCAAAAGCACATAGAGCTTACTAGGATGCAGGTAAGGCCTTCAAGAAGCCACAAAGAAGAAAAACACCCGATTGATTGATTGAAGAGCTTATTTTTTTTCACGATGGCAAAATGGTCCAATAAACTGAAGTTTCCTAAGTTGTCCTGCGCTGTAAATATAGAATAGAAGAGACCCAGAATGAAGCACTCTACCTTAAGTTTGTCCATTCTCTTCTTCAGGCCATCCTGGGCCTTGGCCTGCTCCCCCACCAGGATAACGTCCCGCGTGGCATCATGGATAGGGATATCTGACAAGTGGAGGCCCCTGCCCATGAGCTCCTCCAACTTATCAACACGTGGCGAACCCAGAAACATCAGGGAGCAGGACTCGGGCACATGGATCATCTGACCCTTCAACTCCATAACCTGGCAGAGCAATCAAATGGCAAAAAGGAAAGAGTTACAGAAGTTAGGCCTTTTGTCAAGGCTGAGGGAACGTGAAAACCTTAAAGACAATCCTGATTATATGCAGATTGCAGAAGTACACTGAGCCAGAGGAGAGGGGTAGTCGAAAAAACGGATTGTGAGATTTATGTTCGTTAATAGCCTCTCACTACTATGGATTTCATGTCCACCTAATACTTGCTTTTCTTGAAACAATGGTGAATGGTTACATGGTGGCAATGACTTTAGCATTGGAAATGCATTCACAATCATACAAATAACGAATATATTGAACAAACATGCCTTTCTATGCTTACATGACTGCATACATACCTATACTTATCCACAGCTTTATACACACAATGTAGTACATACAACAGAGATTATAATTGAATAGCTGATAATAAATTTCATTTAGCATGGCAAGGTCTGATGTATAATGCAGGCTGACCTGTATAGAGCCTGTAAAAACTGATGACCTAGTTATTAAGGAGACAATCATCATCACAATGTCACTGGTTTGTCCCAAACTCTCTCCAAATGTCCTTGAACAACCTATGATATCATATTATGAAACGTCTTTGAATATTCGATTGGTTATCAGACAAATCGAGGAGCAAACTTGCCAGTTAAATAATGATATTTCTGTCAGAAGGTGTTGTCATTTTGAAAGAAATACTTGCAAGGCTGAAGATCTACCAACAACTGCAGTATTATTGTCAACATAATAAATACTGCAATTGTTGGTGAATACAAATTGGGTTTCACTAGCTTCTTGACATTTTGCACACAAGCCCTTAACCATGATGACAACACACACCAGGAGTGGGGAGCACAAGCAAAACAGCCTGGAGACATAGAAGAGCGAGATTGAAACAGGCATTGCACATTGCTGCCCTTTTGAATATGACTCCAGCTCCTGCTCAGTCCTTGCCCCTGTTCCTTCCTTTTCTTTAGTTTCTCTTTCTCTCCCCGTGTTCACCTGTCTTTCATTCCTGCCCGTCGCTCCGTCGCTCTCTATGCTCTTCTCTCTGTCTCTTCAATTACTTCTCTCTCTCTTTCTCCATAGTGTCAGATAGATTATTCCGCCAGTGAGCACACTGCAGCTCTGTTTTATTTATAGCACAAGGCTCTCCTAGGTCTGCATAATACATACAGTCTACATCTACACACACACACACACACAAAATACATCCAACAGGGAGACCCACATACCCACATCTGACGTCCACGTCTGTTTTTCAGAAACACTGACTTACACCCATAAAAACACATATGCAAAAACACATATGCGGCCTACAACCAATAGGGTCCAAGTTCAAAACATACTTATCCACTGAAACACAACTGATTGACTTACTCAGAAACACACACACACGCACACACACTCAGTAGTTTATGGTTTTACTGTAGCACTGTATGCCTAACATCTGCACATGTTGCCACACCAATACAGCAGTAGTCATAGTGTCATATGGGAGTTTAACAACAGTTGTGTGAGTACACCCGCTCAAAATCAGACATAAATTCATCTCCCACATTGTAGAATAATTCTAGTTTTATTACAATTTAATATATTTTATGTAGTTTCCCCATTTCTGACAGCAATTTACTCAAACTAATTACTGAGATCTGGGAACACAGCTGCAATAGTCGGACAGGGAAGGTTACACAATTACAATAAATGTTCTGTGGGATGAGACTGCTACAAGGAGAGGTTAACCATTTGTTAAAAGTCAGTCTGCTACAAGCAATATGCCCAGCAATGCAGATTGTGCAGCTGGGCCTTGCAACTTGCCATTCACATGAAAAAATTGCAAAGTGCACTTTTACTTGACAAGCAGCAGCTGGAACAATGCCTACTCAGGTAAACCTTAAATAGCCTGCATGTTAAAGCTAAGGTCACTACACTATGTAGTCTAGACTGAGTCAGTGTCCTGTACGCACTCTGTAAAGCCTCAAATGTGGGTTGCCCTTGCATGAAAACATCAGGACCAGCAAACGCATCAAGCAAATCCTGCAGGACTGTCATAACCTTCCCTGACTGCAAGACGACTGCCATTAATGCCATTGAGTTTCATTGCATTTTCCTGTTACATAACAAAGATTGAAATATCCATCTAACAACTGTTGTTGCTTTTTTAATTGTGTACAGTAGGTATAATTATACTAGTGTCTCACCAGATTACTCTCTGTGTGTCCGCCTATGTTTATCCGTCGCTCTCATTTTCAGTCTCACTCTGTCACAAACTCTCACACACACTGATGCACAGATACAAACATGCATGGACACACACACCCGTACACACATCCCTGGAGGCAGTTGTGTTGGCCTAGTTGTGCGTCTGTGTTTAACTCAGCACTCTCTCCTCTCCTTCTGCCTGCATCTCTGGCATCACAGCACAGTGAAAGAGGAGGTGAATAAACGAAGGAGGAAGAAAGGGCAAAACGAGTGGTTTCGGAGAGAAAGTAACATGCAGAAAGAAGGGGGAAGGGTGGGAGAGATAGGAGACAGAGAAAATAAGGTGGGAGGGCTAAACCAAATAGAAAGAAATAATGAGGAAAAAATAGCATTGTAGAAATAGCTGAATAGATGAAAGCACAATGAGACAGTAAAAGACGCAATGCAAACAGTCAGAAAGAAGCAACAGGAGGCCGACAACAAGAAAGCACAATTGAACTTTAGACAGACAGAAAAAATGTAAAATGTATTTTTATGAAAGCAGATAAAAAGAAAGCAAACTGTGAGAATTAAACAGTCCATTGTGTCCCAGTCAATACGTAGTAGTGAGTTGTTACACGTTTACACTGAGCCATTGTTCAAGGTCACTGCATTGTTACCACGAGGAATCGACGTTCTGCACCTGTAACTCTGACAAGTCTTCACAGAGAAACTTGTTAGAGTGTTGGAGTGCATGGAAACAGATTGTTATGTGAAGAAAAATTATACAATAATTGTTTTAAAAAGTCGTATTAAGATCAAACCTAACTGTTATTGATTGCTGTCCTGAAGCTTTGTGACTTGCCTTTCTGCCACCCGACTCCTCTTCACTGTGTGTTTTGTATTTATGCATGATTGAGGGTTGTATTATACTGCATAAGTTTATGTTAATGTTTTATGTCTTATGATAGCGAGGCCTGAGCAGCATGCACTGTGATGTCACATTCTACATACACAAGATCTATCTAAGTTCAGGCCGCTATCGCCATAGGCAACAAGGAGCTGAAGATAGATGAAAAGGAAAGGGAGGTGGGGGGGGACAGCTGAAAGGGCCAGAGGTTACAGGTGGAAAAGACTGAGGGAGACAAGAGAGGGACAAGAGAGAGACACGAGAACGAGACACATTGGACTTGAGGTACGAGAGATAAAGATGGAGAGAAGGACAGCGGGAGGTGGAATGGACAGCTAATGGATTGTCTTTTGTGAGCGGACTCTGGCATGTCAACACATTCATTTGCATGAACAAGCACTGAGTAGCAAAGAGTCAATGAGTCAGCCTCTCTCTCCCTCTCCAACACACACACACACACACACACACACACACACACACACACACACACACACAATGCCCTTATCTTGTCAGACTCTGGCTATATTGTGCCGTATTCTTACCTCCCACTCTTACAGTAAAAGAAATGCACACACAGCATGTAGCCTAGATAAACATCACATAAAAAAACACACACAAACACACATGTGTATGGGATGTGCTTGTACCTTGTTGTTTCAGATGAAAGACTCAGCAGAAGCTTTAATATGCTGATTCACATTTAAAAATACACAAATAAATAAATAAATAAAACACACCTGTGAGGTGAATTCATCGAGACTAGAATTAGAGGTCAAAACGAGTCATATTGCAGGATCTATGTAAGCTCTGGAAAAATAAACACTGACAATGTTTACATGCACTGGATGCTGGTAATCAGCTAATAGGACTGTTTGAGGTGCATTTAAATGAATTAAAACAGGAAGATCTGCATTCCAAGTTATAGGAGTCACACAGCAATGAAGATCGTCTAACGGGAGATACTTGGTGTGCAGATCAATTCAATCTGTTTTAATTAATTTAGATATTTTTTTGATCCAGCACTCGTCCGATTGGACACTGGCTTTCTTTAATAATTTCACATGTAAATGAAATACTTCAGTTAGGATACAGGATCACAACTAATCTGCACCGGATTGAAAATTGGATCTAAACTGAAAAACAGACCCTTTTAAAATGAATGGAAAAAAACCTGTCCACTTTAATAGAGATAACATCAAGCAGCTTTACTGTATGTACATCTTTCACACACCAGACGTTTGGCCATGAACATGTTTAATGACTACTTTTCAACACCCTTTCATGCAAAAAGACTGAATAGCCCATTTCTGCATCATGTTTTTCACCTTGAAAAAATTTGGGTTAGACTGATTTTTCTTTTTCAGTCCCGATACCTGGCCTTGGTGTTTCGGCTGGTACAGACTACCAGTGTTTAATTAATAAGCTGTATATCTCACTGTGTGGAAGTGACAGGGATTATTGTTGTATGTGTAAGGCAAACATGGCTTCCCTAACTTTGTAAAACAAAATGTTACAAATAAAAACAAATATAGATTTACTGAATTGTTGGTTATTGTTTAGATTAAACATTTAAATTCCAATATAAAATAATCTAGCAGTTAAAATGCTGCTGGATGCCTCTGGAGGTGCTTGACTAAGTTGATAGTGTTTGCGGTTTTGCAGTTTTGCAGTTTTGCAGTGCTCAAAACATTGGCTTTGCAGATATTGCAAGCAGCTGAAGAATTTGTTGGCGTAGCAAGTGAGAAAACTTCCAAACAGCTGATGTGTTTGTTGTTGGTACCTTCAGCAATGCAGCCTAACGGCATGCTGCTGACACATGACGTATACACTCGGAATCAGACATAAAGATTTAATTAAATAGAATAGATCGGCCCCATTGTCACAGATACCCACAAATACATATATAATACG